AGCAGTTAGCGTAATGGCTGTGTCGCTGGACTCCCACGTAGTTGACCGCTGTTCGAGTCCCAGACCCAGTGGCTTAAACTCACACTGGGCGTGTGCGCTTGCGTGCCCAAGATCCTGAGAGGAGAATGGAGGTGAAGGGATTGCGGCGTGGCGATCCCCCCTAGGGGGTGATTTCTCGCTTTCTGTCTCTCTGTCTCTCTCTGTCTGGCGAACACACGCTCCCTATAGCAAAAACCTCTTCAAAAAAAATTTGCTAGAGGCACATGAGGTTGAGAGAGAGAGAAGAAGATAGAGAGAGAAAACAAGAACAACCCCTTGGGGGGTGGGCATGCTGAAGTCCCTTCTCGCTTTCTCTCCCTCCTTTCAGGATTTTGGGCACATACGCAAACACACCAGGCGAGTTCTTCAAGTTGCCCATCTGTGACCACCTGTGCTGTCAGCTCTGTGGGAGCGTCTCCTTAACCACCCTGCCAAGGGCTGTACCCCCAGAAGCTTCTTAATGAAAATTTCAAGAGCTAGAAAACCTTTGAAATCTTCCTGGAAGGACAGCCGTGATGCTAGAAAAAGGGGTCAGGCTTAGAGAAGTGCCCCCAGGAGAGCTGAATCTTCCATTAAGTAATTTTTTTAAACTGTTGAATTATTTATCTGCTTTATGGGTTTGTAGATCCTTTGGACAGGAATCACCTATCTGGTGTGTGTGTGTGTTTCTGTGTGTGTGTGTGTTGGGGGAGTCTGAGATGCTCAAAGCTTTTTTTCTAGGTAATTTTAGAAACTTCCAGATTGCATTGGATATTTATATTCACAAAATTATCAGAGGGGTAGAAAGAATGCAACTCTCTACTTTTTGCCAAAGAGCCACACTTTAAAATAGAGAAACGGAGCTGAAACCGAGCTGGAGCACAGTGGATGTGGAGGTGGGGGGGATGTGTGTGTGAGGGCAGAAGTCCGCCAACACAGAGACTCTTTCATTGTGCTTGTAAATTGCATCTGTTAATTTCCCTTGCCTTCAGTGCAGCCTCCCGCGGCTCTCAGAGCCTCTGGTTCCAGGTTTCCTGGAGTGTCTGATGGCCACAGTGGGTAGGGATCGACTTGCCGGTGTGCCCGGCAGGGTAGGGGATCAGAGCGAGGCAAGTGGGGCGCCTAAGGCACTCGCTTGAAAGAGGCACGGTATGAACCTCAGCCGTCTGGGCCTGGTGTCCATTATGCACCGACCTGCCTCCGCTGCGTGAACACGTGGGGGGTGCGCTTACCTGCGGGAATCACCTGCTCCCACTCTCTCCCACCTGGCGCAGGAGAACCCAGAGGCCTCGCTGCCCCGTTACTCGCAGTCAGTGAAACTGATTTCCATGCCACCGTGTACGTGTCCCCGGCCAAGGCTAAGTGCAGAGATGGCGGTGGGGGGACGGGGGCGTGCGCGTGTGCCGGTCAGCACCCAGGGGTCGGTATCCCGAGGGACCGGTGGGTGGGGCCGAGGTGCGCTGGGGGCGGGGAGTGACGCGCCGCGATCCCCTTTTGCCCCTTCGGATCCGAGAGGGGGCGGCAGAAACGCTTGGGTGACAGGGCGTGGATTAGGGCGTGTCCACTTTGCAGATCGGCCCCCAGGAGGGTCCCCCGCCCCCAGGCCTGGGCGGCCGCCGGGAAACGAAGGCAGAGGAGGACAGAGCCGAAGA